TATAACTGAAATATTATAATATTATAATTATATTAACCATTTTAATAATATTATTATATTCTATATCATAGTTATATAATATGTTATTTAATAATAGTTTTATTGTATTATATTTAATATAATAATAAATATGCATTATATTGTAATTATAATATAATATAATCATTATTTTTAATTATTTCAGTTATTATTTTAATAATATTATTATATTCTATATCATAATTATATAATAATAGTTTTTTGTATTATATTAAATATGATAATAAATATATATTATATTGTAATTATATATATTATATTATAGTATAATATAATATAGTCATAATTTTTAACTATCCACAGCAATTCAACGTCATAATTTACTAAACGCTATTACACTGATTTTAAAACCAGCACAGCTACTATAATTATAGTTTACCAAACACTCAGCTGCTTTTTTGTAACAGCTATTTCTTCCTTCAGCACAGCTAAAAGTATTTTTTTCAAAATCTACAGCACTACCAAACTAAGCCATTATCCACGAGTCGTAATGGGGCGAGTACAGAAAAAACACTAACCACTCTATCACTGGCTGATCATATTTCATATAAATAAACTCATTAATATTTACTTTTTTAAAAATAATTAGCCCTTTTGGAGCTTCATTATTAAGATAAGATTTAGTGTGCATATATTTAGAATTTAGTTTCTTTTGTATAACCTTTTGTTTTGATTTAGATTTAGAAATTTTACTTTATCTTTGTTTTAAATTGATATAATTTTAGGAAACGTAAATAGTAAAACCCTAGTTTAGAGACAGAGGAAACGAGAGAGAAAAAAAAGAAGTTTGAGTATTGATTGGAGTTTCAGGCTTCCAGCATAGCCTCAGGCGCGTCGCAGGTCTCCCGACCCTAAAAATCGGTCCCCAAGCTCGTCTCGCCGTGGTTTCTTCTATGATGGTGGAGTGTGTCGTGAGACGGCTTGATTAGGGCAAACTGAAATCGTTTGGAAGTTGGAAACCAAACATTTAGGAGGCATTTTCCGGCGCCTTCAACGTTGGGTGACTGAGTCCTTTAGGAGGCTTTTTTCTGGAGGTGATGGGCTTCCTTTGCTAGGGGTGGTGTCGTCTCTGGAGGATGATAGCAGTGGCGAGTGCTAATCATTCACTTCCGTTTGACGGTCTCGATCCAACTACGCCGCTTCTCTTTAGAAGCCTTCTTTCTTTACTCGTGGTCCTCTCACCGATTGCAAAATCATTAGAGGCTTGTGCCAGTGATGCTTTGGGTTTTTTTTTTTCTTTGATGTGTGCCTTAATTTATAATAAAGGAGTGATGGCGTTGTTTTCGCCATTTTTTAAGTGTTATTTTGTAATAATGGAGGTGGATTTTCCATCTTTCAGTTTAGTCTGTGTGTCCCATCTGATCGAGTTGATTTTTGATAGTGTGGATAGTGATGTCTGCCTAGAGATCTCTCTATATCGTGTTGTTTATGTCTCCTTTATTTGAGGTTTAGTCTCAGACGTCTAGATTAGTCCATCGACTGTTGAGGAGTCTCAGTACCTACCAACCTAGTCCATAAACAATCTCTCTATATCGTCTAGATTAGTCCATCGACTATTGAGGAGTCCCTGTGCTTGCAATAATTTTTTGGTGGATCAAGTTGTTGGGGGTTGAATTCTCTTGTATTTGGGACCATTTGTAACTTTGGTTCGAGTCTATATCTCTTTTTGTTGAAATGAAATTTCCTCATTCAAAAAAATAAAATAAAATAACTTTTAAATGCATTATTATGTAAGATGGTGGAATAAGATGGAAATAAAAAAAGCCTCCCAGACATAAATCCCTAATCCCAGCTCCACCTTTTCTTAATTAGCAGGGATGGGGTTGGGGATGGGAAATGAAAAATCATTTCCCAGCCCGCCCCGCCCCCTTAACATCCCCTGCATTAATAAGCATCATGATTAAGAAATTATATTCATCATATGTGCACATATTATATATGCCCTATTGAGTTTCTAATTTCTCCGTCTATATGAGAATATATATCATATTATTTACTTCGAAATCCCAATATTAAACTATACATATCCTCTATACGATTTCCATTAATGTTTCTTCCCTCTCTAGGCGTACCCATTTCATCTCTAGATGGAGTCCTAATTGCTATCAAGGATGAAATAGATTGCAAGCCATATCCGACGACAGGTACTTAACTTGATCAATATTTTTAATTAGAATTTCATTATTCATGAAAAATATTGATTGATTTCCTAATCATTCTGTGAATAATTAGTATATAGTACTGATATTTTCTTCACACACTCATATATATATATATGTATATATGGTGTGTGTATCTTGAAAATCGCTTCATAAATCCAGGGGGGACAAAATGGTTGCACAAACAAAGACCTTGTAAGGATGATGCATGTTGTGTGAAGCGTCTTAGATCATGTGGAGCCATACTTGTTGGGAAAACCAATATGCATGAACTTGGGGCTGGAACCAGTGGGATAAATCCCCATTATGGGTAAGATCAACAAATTATAGCAACTCTTTTTTTTTTTTTTGCCTTTAAATATATGTGCTATATAAACTAAGCTAGTTTAACTCATGGGTTTACATAAAGTTTGAAATAAAAATTCAAATTTTTATACAAGAAAATACTATAGTAAAATGATTTGAATTGTGGTTTAAATTGCGGACTAAACATGTGCTACGATTGACGAGAATATTTAGCTTAACATGATTGATTTTGATGGTAGATAGAAATTGTAATTTCTAGCTTTCACTATATATTATGATTTTTGATTAATCAAGTCGAATGGCATTCCACTAATGAATTATGAAAATGTGTATATTATATAATATGTTTGTGGTGTTATAAATTGTTAAATGTTACTTTAGGGCAACTAGAAATCCATACGATAGAAACAAGATCTCTGGAGGCTCTTCTAGTGGGTCTGCCGCAGTGGTGGCTGCTGGATTGTGTCCTGTTGCCCTTGGCGTTGATGGGGGAGGTACTTACAAGATTTTTCTTAATTATTTTGAGTTCAATTGAAATAATTTGTACACTAAATTAAAAAATTGAAATAATTTGTTATCTACTATAGAGTTTTTCTAGGTTATATTTTCTTGATTTTTCTTTTTTAAAGAAAAACACAGTTTTTTTGAAATCAGTTCTCCTTGCAAAGATTTATTTATGAATATATGAATATTGAAGTCTTAATATCAATTATCATTTGTCGTCATTTAAAAAATATCTCTAAATTATTAGTTATTAAAATTGAATAAAATACTATACGTGAAAATGGGGTTTTTATTATATTTTTTTTATATACCTTTTGTTTCTAATATGAATATATTTTCTTACCTACTTCGTTTTTTTATATGCTTAGGATCTGTCCGAATGCCTGCAGCTCTTTGTGGTGTTGTTGGTTTCAAACCAACCTTTGGCCGTGTGCCTCATTCAGGGTAAGATATTTGAGCATTATTTTTAGTTAAAAGCTCGTGCTTGAGAATTTTTCTTGTATAATATAGTTTGCTTAAGATTAATCATCTATCATTTTTCTTTCCTAGTGTTCTTCCTCTGAATTGGACGGTTGGGATGGTTGGAATACTAGCAGACACCGTTGAGGATGCCTTTATTGTGTTAGTGTTCTCTTCCTCTTTGTACACTCACACAGAGATTACAGATATATATATATATATATGCTATATTATTTCTTGTCGTGAGCTATACTTTTCTTATTTCAATGCAATTTTGTAAAGATTTCGAAATGAAGGGTTCTTTATTTTTATTTTATTTTATTTTATTTATTTTATTTTGGTCTATAGCTATGCAGCTATTAGTGGCGAACTACCATCGCATCAATCTACTATAATGGTGAGAACTTAGTTTAGGAATCAATGCTTAAATATTGATTACATTTTATATTTAATTAGCTTTATTGCTGTTCTTCATCAAATTTTGGACTTTATATAAATTTAGAGCATCAGATTGTACACATGCATGTTTGTTTGTATCCATACCTACTTTCCTTCCTAAACAGTAAACATGCACGTCAACACTTGTTGAAAAAAAAAAAAAAAACAATAAATTATTTAGGGTTAATTATAGGAATACATGTAGAGTCTTAAGCCCATCTTTTTTTTTTTTTAAATATCTTGTATAACACAGTTCGCATGTGTGTTAATACTTGCACAATGTTACATATGTTGAACGGCATCTTTTCAATGTTATACTGAAGTAAATTGAGTGTTACACACATACGAACAATATTATACGGGCATACAAGAAAAAGTTATACGTGCCTGACTAATTCAGGTGCCAAACTTGAGATAATTCTTATAAATATATGTTTAATTTTTTTTTTTGGTATTTAATTTATCCATTTGTTTTTAGACATCATAAAGGTATCCTTTGATTTGAAATACTTATTTTAAATTTATCTCTTATGCATTTTGTAGACGAAAAAAAAAAATACCCTTGAATCATTTCTTAACATATTTCAACATTCAGAAAAGGTAAAAATTCCAAACATAAAACATAGAATTTCAAAAAAAAAAAAAAAATGATACCCTTTTAACTTTAAAAGAACAAGCCAGACACGAAACTACAAACTTTAAGGGCCCGTTCAATTCATGTGTTTAAATCACTGATTTTTGACTCTGACATTTGAAATTTAAATTTTTTGTGAGAGAAAAATACTGTAATAAAATCAAAACCATAGGTTTAAACGCATGAAACAAACGGGTCCTAAAAATTTCTGGTATTCTAATCCTTTCTTCATATCATATATATATATTTTTGCTGGTTGAACTGTTTTCATATCATCTTCAATGTTAACTTATAAAAGTAGGCCAATGAGTAGAAAATGATATTTGTTTCCACTCTTAGCCAATATATGCAATATGAAGCTTTTAAATTTAATAAACATGCACTCTGCTCATCCATTGTTCAATAATTAGTTTCCTAGACTCAAAAACCTTAAATCTATTGTAGAAAAATCGATTTTTTTCCCCATATTAAGTATGGGCATTTCTTCTGAACTTGGCCTGCCTAGCAAGGCGTTTTTGTATAATCAGATCAATATATCATTCTTAATATCAACATTTTTCTCCTCTTTTCTGTATATTATTTTTTTTTAAAACAAAAATCTTTCAGCCTAGAGTACATTTTCCACTGCTGAACTCACCACCGCCAATATCAAATATCAAGTTGGCTAAGTACGATGAGGTTAGTTATTGTTCTCAAATATCAAGCAATCTATACAATTTTTTCCTACACAAGTTCTTTATAATATATTAATAGATTCTCATTTCTTAAACCACTAATTGGTTCAATTAGTGGTTCAATGATTGCAGTGATGATATCAGAATTTGTTGTTCTGATGTCGTGAAGAAACTTGAGAAGCACTGTGGTTGGAAGGTACTACAAAACATATAATTGAAATTATAAAGTTAATGTGGTAATTTATCAAATTGCAAACTTCCAAAAGGAAAATAGTATGGCGTAGCCTCCCCTTTGTAACTTTTTTATTTTTCTTCATAAATTTTCAAAGATATGAATCATGATTGTGACTTGAGTTTTGCTTTCTACTTTAAAATTCTCATAGATTTTTTCCTTCCAAAAAAAAAAGGTATTAATTATCTTTTACCACGTGGATCAAAGAAAATATTTTGCTGCTTATGTGTGTGTATATAATAATAATTATAGTGTTTCTCCTAATAACCGAGTATATATATATATATATTATATTGATGCATTACTGGTTATTATTATTATTATTATTATTATTATTATTATTATTATTATTATAGTGTCTCTCTCTCTCTCTTTTTGCATATATAAGACAATAGGAGTGACCATTCCAGAGATAGAGGTGATGCGGCTAGCCCACTATTTAACAATTGGCTCTGAGTGCACCACTGCTCTTAGTACTCATCTTGAAAAGCTGTATGGATTCTCTATATCATACTCAATGCACCGTTAAAATTTGATCTAAGATATTGAAATAATTAAATCTTTAATTAATATTAATCTTTTTTTAAAATAGGGATTTTGCTGAATTAGGATGGGATGCAAGGGTTGCCCTGGCAGTTTATGGTTCATTCAGTAGCAAAGAATATATAAAGGCCCAAAAAATCAGGTATATTTACTAGTCCTTGTTTTACCAATTCAAGTGCCAAATTGTACATGACCTTGTTTGAAAAAATATTTTATATACCAAGAATACATGTACATAGAACATATTCCCTTTTTATGAGTTTCAAATTTATTGGATTTGGGAAATTCATTCGTAGGATTTTCACAAAATTGATATCCACGTAAAATAAAAAATAAAAAATAAAAAAGTTTAGTATGAACGGCACGGCTTGTAATAACGCGTGACACATTTGATTAAAAATATCAGATACTCAAATTAGAAAATAATTATTCAGTTTCCATTTCTAATGATCTTGCTTAATTTCCTGATCTTAGCTGTTAAGAAGGCTCATATTTCGATTTCTTACGACGATAACTCACATATTTTCCATAATCTCCATTTTTCATTTTTTTTTTAAATTAGAAAGTATGTTTAGGAAACTTGAGTCAAGCAACCTTGAAATTCATAGTTTACAGACTACATAAACAGGTTTATATGTCGTTTCTATCAGAATACATCTTTACCATATTATACATGTCGCAGGAACCGACAAATTCAATTTCATGAGAAGATATTTGCCCAGGCCGATGTCATTGTTGCGCCAACTACAGGGTATATTCTATTTTTTCGTCTTCAGATTAAACAACAGAGGAAAAAAAAAAAAAGAAAAAGATATATATAGGATGAATAAATTTGAAGGAATTTGAAGATTGCCTATCTTAACGTTTTCAAAGATATATATATATATATATATAAATGTTAAAATTTGAACGTAACTTGTAGTTATTAAAATGTAATATGGCAATTATTTAAGGTAATATCGATGATCTAGAGAAGTAATGTAATTTTTAGATGATTGAATTTTTTGTTATTATTTTTCTCTAATGTCAATGTTACGTTTAATAATTATCATGTTAAATTTTTATAATTATGTGTTACCTTAGAGGGATTTCCCACTGGAGGGGAAGGACTGAAGAAAAGTCCATATATATACACACATATATATATGTATATATTATATTATGTTTTAATTCGATGATCATTTGACATGTACAGGGTAACTGCTTATCCAATTTTTGATGATGCTCTAAGGACTGGTGAACTTGACTATATTAATGGAGGTATTAATTAACCTCCTAACAAAATTGCTCCACAAATCTTGCTTCTACTTGCTAATAAATTGTCTTGGCTTGAAAACAAAAAACAAAAACAAAGCAAAGTAATCCTAGTATATGACCTAATTATTTTGCTACATTTTGCATATTTGTCAGCTGCACTTGTTCGGTATTCAATATCAGGAAACTTTCTGGGCTATCCTGCAGTGACTATTCCAGTATGAACTTATTCAATACTTTCATTATTTTTCTAGTACATAACACTAAATTGGTCACGTGAAATTTAAATTAAAAAAATGCCTTTTTTTTTGTGTCCTTAAAATTGTAGGTTGGATATGATAAATTGGGTTTGCCAATTGGTCTTCAGTTTATTGGTAGGCCTTGGTCTGAGGCAACGCTGATTCACATGGCATTTGCAACGCAGGTAAAGGGGCCATACTGCTTTCTTGTGATGCTTCTAGAATTTTTTTTTTCTTTTCTTTTTGTAAAACATGAATTTAGTCATAGAATTCTGAAAACTGACTAAATTTTACCCTGATTGCTGGTATTATCTTATGGCTAAATCTTATTTTTTTCCAAATATATATAGTGCTCCTTTAGCATTATAATGGTGGCATCTAGAAATAGTCATTAATTTGTCTTGTTTACGAATAGATAGGTGACTTTTTTTATTTATTTATTTATTTACATCCTTAAAGTTTTAAAAAGCTCACTAATATCACTATAATTTTTAGGCTATTTTGTATGGAAAACCCTTCAACTTTACGGGTTTGGCAATTTAATCCCTTAACTTTTTTTGTTGGCAACTCACCCTTTAAACTTTGAAATTTGTTACAATATTAGTCAAATTAAAAATAAATTTAAAAATGCAGATGATATCTTACACATGAGTATTTAATAAGGGTAATTAATATCATTTTACATCGAATTGATCCTCATGTATGCATCACGAGCGGAATTTTTTTTTTTTTTTGAAATTGAGAGTTAACTGTTTTAGGAAAAAATTAAGGGGTCCCCCAATTTCAAAAAAATTTTCATTCATGATGTGTATAAAGGGTTTAATTTGATGCAAAAAGAGCAGAATTATCCTTATTAAACACTCACGTAGAAGATAACGTCTAAATTTTTAATTTCGTTTTCAATTTGACCAACAATGCAACAAATTTAAAAGTTTAAAGAGTGAATTGTACAGAAAAAAAAAAGTTAAGGAACCAATTTGCTAAACTTGTAAAGATGAGGGGGTATCAATGCAAAAAAGCCTAATTTTTATAATATGATATTGACATTGAAAGTTATTCTCTTTTAATTTCAGGCCATTTGTATCTCAAACTATAGAAGGCCAGAGGTATTCTATGATCTCCTCAACAAAAGATGAGTGCACAACTTCCAATAGAATCTTGCATATTACAGTGAATGTATTGCCCAAATATATTCAAGTACACCATATATTACCAAATTTGGGTCTCTCCGATGCATTTTTATGTTTCTTTTCCTTTACTTTTTATTCAAGTTGTGGATGGTTGCAAAAAGAGGATAGTTGAATTTCATCCCTACAACTATATCAAAAATATTGTAACTTGATTGGAGGTGTTTATAAGGAATTATATTAGTGTCACTCGAAAAAGTTATATTTTATATTTTGGACTTGTTATGAACACCAATTTAGTGCTGTTGTATCCCTTGGATGCAAAGTCTACAACCAACAAATTTAATATTCGATAGTTTGATCTCTGAAAGGAAGTACTTAAGGGGTTTAACAAGTTAAAAATAAAAATAATAAATAATAAATAAAAAATAAAAACCTAAAAATTCGAATTTCTTCACAAGTTACTCCAAATTGCTAAAGAGGATCATTTCTCTAGATCTCATTAAAACATAAACAATATAATATTTGATCTCATTTAAACATAAACGATATAAATGATTGCATGTTTGACCTAGCGGTAAATTCATACCTGCCCTAAAATTAAAGTTTTGAGTTCAGGAAGCCTAAAAGATGAAAACTAAAATTAACTTAGAGAATAAAACGAGATCAGAAAGTCATGGAAGGGAACAAATGTGTAACAAATAAACAAATAAATAATTAGAAACAAAGAGGAGGAGCATCAAAATACTAATTCAATCTTCTACAAAACTACACATTCAGTTAATCTTCAAAATACTCTGTAAGCTAGTAATTCAAAGCCAAACAAAAACAAGAAAAATAGTTACAATAGAAATATACATGTCTACCCTTGTCATCAATTCTCAAGCTTTGTGACATCTTGTTGTAATCTGCAAGAAATAAGCAAGAAAAATGAAGAGAAAGAAAAACAATACAACAAAAAGATATGCCATGTGATCTTCATCCTTGTTTTCCTTTGAGACAGAAATTTCACTGATGCTACAACCTTCAACAACTTTCACGCTTGTGTCACTTGAATCCCCACCACTAACAAGACTCGCATCTGGTTTTATTTCCTCTGAATTTTCCTTTCCCTCGAAGCCAATGCTGAAATTGTGGCTAGAATTCTCATCACTTGCACTTTGATCCAACACACTTTCAACTGAACTTGGCACATTATGTGTCATAACTGAATCACTGAATGAAACTCTCCTAACCCGCGGGCAACTCGGTTTTGGTGATGAGTTCACCAGAACCTTTGACGTCGAGAATCTGCGGATGAGGCCCGTCCTGCTCTTGGATTTCTTTCTCTTTTCTGCTAACAAGGCAGCAGCACTTGAGTCATCTTTGCATCTTCCAAAATTCTTTATTCTTTGCATGAAATTAGGAGTCTTGCTAGTTATACTGTTTTGGCTACTTGAAGAGCTTCCAATTGTGGTGCTTTCAACTTGGTCAGTCTCAGTTGAGGAGCTAATGTTGGAAGAAATGCTGTAAGAAGAACTTGGATATGAAGATGGAGACTTGTTTTTCTCATCAAAATTTTGGAACGGATCGTTCTTGAGACTAATTTCGGAGGTTTCTCTTCGCGGATTTTCTTTGTTTTGGATCTCAAATCTCAAGCAACTGTGAAGCCAGCGCTGGTAAACAAGCTCTTCCACCATGGTGAATCTGTCCTTCTGAAATCTTTCTATTTGTTTTGATAGCTCTTGGTTGCCACATCTCAATGTACTTATTTCATCTTCAAGCTTGGACATGATTTTACCCTGCAACAGAAAGTGTTTGGCATGATCCTTCAACTTTCCTATAATTTGGTCTAGAACTATGGTACGGCCGGTGCTTTCTGGTATCGTGCAGACAATTTATCATGCGTTGGATGATAGACAAATCAATCAACGCTGTTAAAAATTGGGCTACTTTTAACAGGTCGCACCCGACAATATATTAAAAAAAAAACACAAACAAAGAAACAAATCAACACTCCAGACCTCTATGGACCATTATATCACTTGCAAATCAGGGAACTCATATATTTGATGTTGGAAAGAAGGATGATTCTAAATACACTAAAGAGTATTTTTCCATTCTTGAGAGACAGAGCAATTCATACACTAAATTACTTAAATTGTGAAGTATATTAGTTTTTTTAGATCCTCGTGATGTGTTATGTTGAATGATGAGAAAATCTACATGCAACATGCAAAATGTATGATATATGCAAGTTACAATATATGGATTCATAAATGGATATTAGTAATAATTATAATTAAAGGGTATAAATCACATGTCTATAGCTGTTAAATAGAATTAGTTAAGAAGTTATATCTACCTCAGTCATGTGAGAAAGTGAAGGTATTTTGGCTTGAGCAGCAAGCAACTTAACTACCAATTCCCTCTTTTCTAGCTCAAGCTCTTTGTTTCTTCTCTTCATTTTAACTACTTCTAACTCAACATTATTTGCAGCTTTCAACTTTTCCTCAATCAGGGCATCTCTTTCAGGGTTTTCATCCTCTTGAATTCCACATTTTTTCTTCAATCAGCGAAACCTTTCCCTTCACATTCCTTTCATCGACATCGATCTTTCTCCGCATTTCGGCTACCGTTTTCTTAGCCATTTCTAGCTTCTTCTTCACAAAAAAACTCTGCTTGATTTCTTCTTTTAGGCTCTTTTTCTCAGTCTGTAATGAGCCAAGAGTGATATTAAGCATGTCAATCTCTGCTGACTTTTCCTTTAAATGCCTTTGCAATTGGGCCTTGTAGGCTTTCTCTTCTTTCAAACCATGTAATTTCAGCAGTTTCCATTCAAGGGACACTTTCCTCTTCTCTAAGTCCCTTGTTAAAACACTAAACATTTCTGTCTCTTTTGCAGCCCTCAACATTTTACTTCTAAACATCTTAGCCTCTTTCTTACCTTCATCCTGCAACATGTGAGACTTTGTTTATTCCTTTTGACACTTTTGCTATATAATATCACCGATTCATACTGTAACATGTAGTAATAAGAAGTGTACTGTATAATTTATTTTATGTGACAATAATCTTAAACATGTATAATATTGATCTATGATAATATTTTTGAATTACCCTTTTACAAAAGTTTATTATTATATGGAATAAATATAATATCACACCCTCTACTAAGACCCATCACGAAAGATTATGATATAAAACTATGATATACATACATATATATTTATATATGCATATATATATATATATATATAGAGAGAGAGAGAGAGAGAGGGAGGTGGAGAGAGTACTTGGATATTAGAAGCTTCAGGCTCCTCTTCCTCCTTTTCAACTTTCTTTGATTCCAAGAAAGTACCATCTAAAATTAAAGCCAGCCCCACATAAGTGAAACATAAGAAATCTCAAGATGACTAGAATCTAGTCTACAAAACTAACAAAATAACTTCTTACATAAATGTTTATGTATGTTCACATATGTATTTTCCGGGAAAATAAAAATCTGAGGAAAAGTAGAAAGAAAATCACATTCTAATATGTACCTTGAATCTTTGTGGGTTTTCTATTTGTCTGTGAAACTGCAAATGCTGAGAATGAAGCTACCACTAGGAAGCTTACTTTGACTAACATGTAGGCCTTAATGAATCAGAAAAGCTCGGAGTACAATATTCTTTGTACTTTCATTATCACAATATTCTCGTCAGTGCTTTGCCAATGTCTGAAACATAATACACTCTGGTTCAGCTCATCAATAAGTAGTGGCAGAACTTATATATATATATATATCTATACCGTGTTGGACTTGAGTCGAATACTGTAAAAGCTGGGCCCTACATGAACACTTTTTTGGAGGGGAAAAGATGGAAAATCTCATATTTTCACCGTCACAACTGAGCATGTAATTCCTGTAAAGTTAAGAATTGGAGAAAAAACGAATGTTATCAAGCAAACTAATTTGCTTTAAAAAAAATAAATAAATAAAAGTCTACGGCAAACTAATACCACATAAACCATAACATTATTGTTGTGTTGTATAATAAATTATAGGATTAATCAGTCCCATTATCATGTAAGAGGTACTGAAAAATGTTACATAAATGTATATATGTACTGCTCGTAGTACCATTAATGTGTTTTTGGTATTTTTTTAAAAAGAAAAATCATTTTCCAAACTCTAAACTTAGCAAATAATTCCAACGAACAATATTTAGAAATTGGCGTATACCAGTAGGATATTTACTAGTCCCATGGATTAGGAAGCAATGAGTCATTTTCTTGGTGGTCCATTCCATATATAAAAATCAATGGGTCATATATCAAAAATAAAGGTTTAAGTTGACATGCCTCATATGAGATATCTATGCCAAATAATCTCTTTTCCATTTTTTAATGGGTTGTGGTTCTTTTATGCACTAAAGTTTGAGAAGACAATTATTTCGAGGGAAAAAAACAAAGTTTGAGTAGATAAGTTTGAGGGAAATTCTAGAATGGGGTATGATTTTTATTCCCCACCGGTGAGCCATCAGATTAAATCCAATAGCTAAAAATAATTCATGTCCATTAAGAAAATAATAGGTCGCCTGCAGTGGTGGAGCTAAAAAATTTTCAAGGGGCGTAAAAACAAATTAAATTTTGGATTGAACTACAATGTAATAGTCATTTTCGTTTGTTAAGCAATTTGTATCTTTGATTTTTTTTCCCCTAATATGAATTAAACTTGTAATGGACCTTATAGTTATTCTTTTAAGTTTACAGTTCAAAATTTGTGAATTTAGTAGTAGTATAGTTTATTTTTTATTTATAGAGGTTTTAAATTTGAAACAAGAGTACTTAAAAATGATAAACTTAGGGTATAACTAAATTTTTTTTTAAAAATATCACACGAAGATTTGAATTTAAAAAATTTTAAGGGAGCAAATGAAATAAAAAATTATGAAAAATCTTTGTTTTGGGGCAAAATTAAAAGGTGCCCATGGTCCCGGGGGGATGGGGGCGCGCCATACATTGGTCTCTTAGACAATTTTTGTCGGTTTGGTCATTAACGAACATCGTCATTTTTTTGGGTCGGTTTCGATTCGGTCACCGTCTATAATTTGTTGTTTGAACGACGAAGAAGGATGGTGTGGTGAAATGGCGATGGAGAAGACAGTAACTTGGACGGCGGATGGGCGTTAAAGAAGAAGAAGAGAAGATGGGGCGGGGCGGGTTCAATTTTATGAGAGGTATGGGCCGTATGACATACCAAAAAAAATAAACTTAAATTTTTTTTGACTAATATAATTATTTAATTAAAAAATATTAATTAAAAATAAATGATAAAAATTCAGAGTCGTACATTACTAGTGCTGGAAGTTCGGGTCGGTGGGCTGCCCCGAAGCCTGAATTTTTTCGGGCTTAGGCAGGCAAGCCCATCTCCCGCCCGCCCAAGCTAGATTTTCAGGTTCGGGCTCGGGTAGCCCAAATTTGACACTGACTCTCTTGCCCGCCGCCATCTAACCGCCCTATACCGCCGTCCGCTGGAATTTTTTTAAATTTTCCGACCATGCCCGAACTGCCCAAATTGCCCGACCCGAAATCCCGAATTTTGCCCGAAGCCCGAGTTGCCCAAAACCGCCTGAAAATATTAATTGTTACAAATTGGGGCATTCCGAGAATCGAACTCGGGATCTCTCACACCCAAAGCAAGACTCATACCACTAGACCTAATGTCCAGATTTGTTATTTAAATTTTTAACTTTTTAATTAAGGTAAACACACAATTCCTTAATAGAAAGAGCAAATTCCTATTTTAGCAATTTAATATTTCAGTTTTTACATTCTTGACCCTTTTTTATAATCAATCACATGATAAAAGGATTCCTCAAAAAACAATATACACAAGGAAAGAAACACATTGCCATCACGTTTTTATTATTTTTTATTTTTAAAAAGTGATGTTTCTATATAATGACGGTTTTGTTCTTATAGATACTCGTATTTTTCTATTCTATATCACTCTTCTTTCTATCTTTATCTATTTTTCTGTTCACAATCTCTCCTCATCCTCTTAATTATCCTCTTTTTTCTTCAACTTTCTTCACTCTCTTTGTGACTCTATATCAAAGTAACTTTCTACTTGCATACCAAAGTAAATTGATAATTTATCAAAAGTCACTCAATGATTGGTTTGGTTTAATAACTTCATCGCTATTTGATGATCTCTATTTTAAAAGACCAGTCACTCAATGTTGAAGCCTTGGTTTGCATTAAGGATTGGGATCGGGCCGATCAACATTTACAAGATACAATTTCACCGGCAAG